ACGCTTGAGTTTGAGTAACTGAATGTACGCAAACTTTCATCGCGAACTCTGTAACTGAAACAAACTATACCTACAGATTATAAAAAAGTGCATTTCTGTGCCTTGCTGCCTTAAACTTCTCCAAATGTAATCACTTAGGTATCAGTCGAATAACATACGGATAATAAAAGAGCTGTTCTTTTTTATTTTGGACTTCACATCTATGTAAAACATTCGTAGAAACGGTTTTCACATATGCTCCAAGTACAGATATATGTTGCAGCGACCTATGGATATCTACGCATATGTACAAGGTCATACCTCTTTGTAGCGTTTACGCGCGCGACAAAATATATCCAGATAAGATACATGCACAGCCAAAGGATAAAAGGGAGTGAGAGCGTGCCAGTCGACTTTGAGCTCCATTGACCCTTGTAACGGCCTGGACAGTCTTTTCTATCCGACGGTACTTTACAATCGAGGGTTTTATTGAAATCTTCTCCTGGGCGCGGGGTCGCGCGCGCGCGTCTCTGTCCCTCTTATATAAACTCCAAGAGACATTTTTATCTGTCGGATAAATTCAAGTTGGATCGGCTTATATCTCTACCTCGACTTAGCCAGGGATACATCTATCTATTCGCCAGACTCTTTTGCTCTCTCTCCTACTCTGTGCACTTTCTCAAACTGCACACAAGAGGTGTGGGGAGAAGCGGGGGAAAGAGTGGTAAAGAATCCTCGGCAACGCAAGGACCGCGCCGAGTTCTTAGCTTCTCCCTCTCTCTCTGCTAGCACTCGGCGAGAAATTATTGGCGAGATATGAAAGAGCCCGAGTTATTGCTGATAAACCCCTTCGAATAGCGGGATCCGCACACCTTTTACCCACTCGCATAACCCTCTTCCTTATTTCTTGCCATCCGTCCGTTTTTATTCCTTCTTTCTTTTTCCTTTTTTCTTCTTTTCGATTCTATAGTTTCACCTTTTATTTAGCCTCTTCTTTGTTATTTTCTTCTTTCTCGATTATTCCGTTCTTAATCTTCTTTCCTTACGAGTCCAATTTTTCTTTGATTTTGTTTGTTATCTTGCTAATGTATGTTTTACGCCTTGTTTTTAAAATTTGCCTTGTGGCTGAATACGAAGACCGTGATATTTGACTTTCATTCTGCATTGTAGGATTATTTTGCCTGTCAGCAAAAGCTTACATACACGTATTGTATTCAGAATACGGAGTAGCTCTTGCGTGGCGTCCATTTTCGGTATTTTCTGTTTTACAGCTCTTTTTGCGCGGCCTTTCCATTTTCTTTTTCCTCTCGATTTCCCTTCTGCTACAGCCTCCTCTCATTTCTTTAGGTATCTCCTTTTTTTGCGCCCTCTGCTACAGTCTTCTTTTTTTCTTGCTATTCGCGTGTCCCCCTCCCATTCCGTAGCTAACTCCCATCAATAGAGGCAGTTGTCTCACTTGGAGATGGCTGAAGCGAAAAGCCGTAACTCGAGTCATGCGCGAAAAGGGAGAGAGAGCGAGAGAGAATTGTCGCATGAGTAGAATCGAGAAAAAGAGGGCACATATAAGGGGCCGATATACGATTGCTCGTTCGCCACTACGTTTACGAGCTGCGGTCGCATGTGATCACTTTTTTTTTTAATGCGAACGGACTCTGATGCGTACGTAAGTAGACGTCCAGATGGTGAATGGTGCGAAAAATCGAAATGGCCTTGCTGCTGCTTTTCCTTTTTTTATTATACAGTCAGTTTTTTATGCTCGCCCTGCAAGTGGAATATTTGACAAGATACTGCTGATACGTTTCTTTTCATTTTCCCGGGTAAAAATCCTATTAATTTTCACGGCTGCTCGTGTATTTCATTAAACTATATATGGCGAACGCGATTTACGGCCAAGAAACGTCGTAAAAATTTGATCGTTCTATATATTTCGTTGATTTATTCGACTTCGAGTGCTGACCAGCATTTTCAGAGTCTGCGCCTACTTCTAGAACTTCTAGAACTATTGTAGAGGAGCAAATTTAATGCGCCATCTGTATCCAAAAGCCTTGAAATTTCATCTAATCATTAAGAAAACTGCCTTATTTTATTTAAAGTTCATTTGTTTTTATTATAAAACAATTTGAAATACATTTTAATTATCGGTAAAACCAATGTGATGAGAGTTTCTCTATTAAGAAATTAGAAAGTTGCGTTGCGCTGTTTTATCTTTTATCCGGTTGCTTATAAACACCAAGTGCTCTTATGTACCCCACCGGCACTAGTCGAAAAAGCAATAAATACGAGTGCTTAAATTGCACGAGCGTGCGTGCTAACTTGGACCCCCAAGGATAAAATAAATAATAACGAGCTTTGTCGCCTAATCTCTTACAGATCCCTTAAAAACTGCATACTACGGTAGTTTTGTGGGTTTGTTGGTACACGAAAAAACAGACATTCCTTTCAAAGGTATCCCAGCTCTAAGTAATCGCATTTTTATTTAAGATATTTTTTTTCATTGTAGACAAAAGATTCAATCAATCATAAATCATAATTTTCTATATAACACTACATAATTGTATTGACAGCGATCATTTCGTTGTTATTAGCATGTAACGACAGATATAATGTTAATATATTTATGCAAATAATGTTATATAATAAATGATATTATATAACATGGCCAAAAGTAACGTAATGAAAATAAGTATATTTAAGTTTATCATAACAATTTCATAATTAGAGCGTTTACTGAATAACAAAATATCTGATAATTGTTCATTCAAATATGACTATTATTTCATTATTTCTGTTGACTAAGCGTTCGATTGAGTTATATCGACACAAGAACGGAGTTTCCGGGCAACAATTAATTAGTGGGGCTACTTTGATTACTGCTATAATTGTGCGCGGACAAGAAAAGTCACTCGAAAGCTGCGCTTTGGTATTTAATGCAAATGAAGTCGTTTGCACCATCAACGTCGTTGCGAGAATTCATCGTCGCGCATTAAGTTTGCCGGGACAAGGGCCAAAGTTTCTCGCTTCCGTCGCTTTGACCGCGCGGCAAAGAGAAGAAAAGAGAGAAGAAAAAAGCCGAGAGAGCGCGAAAAAAAAGGAAGGAAGAAAGGCAGTGCAAGTTCCTCGAGCCTTCGCTGACGCCACGTGCCGTATCTGATTCGATTAAACAGTGCATTTACTGGAGCACGGGCTGGCAAATGTATTTGCCTCGAAAGAAATAGAGCACGTTGGGGAGGGCCAGAGAGCGAGAGGGGGGGGGGGGAGCGGAGGGAAAACCGTAGGAGCAAGTAAGGGAATTCTCAGCAAGATCAGCCAGTCAAAGGCAACTTGTCAGTTCCACGTTTCGTCTGCAAACTTCGTTCGGGCCGTGTTTCCGCGTTGCCTTTATCGCCACTACTTTTACTTTGGCTCCTAGCGCTCGCGAGGAGGAAGCCGAGTGGGTACCGCCATCGTGCTGGACCATGTCTTGAGAGAGATCCATCGAGCTGTATCGTATCCTAGAGGTCTCTCTCTCTCTCTCTGTCTTTTTCTTTCGATCTTCAAAGAAATTGCAAGGCGATATTTACCTTAGCCTCGCTCTCTCTTGAAGCTTCTTCCTCTTTTGGCCAGGCTCGCCTCTTCTCGCCTGGCTTCTATTCCGCCGCCATGTCGTACATCATGAAAGCAATCCTCGGCGCGAGGCGGCGAGCATTATTTCAGCCGGATATACCCAGGATGCACAGAGGCAGAGAGATGTGCTATATGTACATTGCGGGCTGGTGTCTTCTCTTCCGGACGGAGCACGTGTTAAGTGAAAATGCTTCGTTTATTCCATCTCTTTGAGACGTCCCGCGCAGCTGTCTGTCTGGTTGCTGAGCCGCCCCGCGAAAGAGAAAGGGAAAACTCGACGCCCAGCCGAGCTTTTGTTTTACTCTTGAAGCTCTCGCCTTCTCTCTTGTGTATTCCTTAGTCCAACTGAGCGCTCTTCATTTTTTTCTTCTCTTTGACTTGGCCGCGTTTTCATAAATGTCCTTGCTTTTAAAGAGCTTTCAAATATGACCGATGCCGTACTTATTACTCGCCTCCGCTTTCAATAATAAACACTAAAAGTAATCAGGCCAGCTGCCCAACTAGCTTCGCAAGTTTCATCTCACGCTTTCAATGGTCAGATACACATTTAGAAAATAAAATTATTTACTGGCATTTGGTTGTGTACAAAGCAGCAGATACCGATCCTCGGCCACCTTTTACATTTATTAGATAGATAATCTTCTTCAACTTGAACGATTGCATTGGTTGCTTTATCAAAACTCGCTAATTTTACAAAGTTTCTAAGGATCTGTAGTAATTTTTTCAATATTGTCTCTGTAGTTTTATGACGCAAGCTCGTAATTTTTGCTCTAACAAACCAACTGAGATAGAACGCTCCACGAAACGACCACTGTACACCGTACTGTTCATTACTACAGCTGAACACCAGCATCAGTATTTCAATATCGTTTGAATTGCTCAATTATTTACGCGTCAATCGGAATAGAACAGTAAATTTTCATTTCCCAGAACAATATCTAAAGTAAACTCAGCAGCAGGAAATGACTATCTCGTGAAGCGCGTGCTCGCATCAAGAGTCTAGCAATGAATATTAGAATAACACTCGGGTGGTGCCAATTATGCAATTTCACGTAATTCATAACAAAACGCATTGCATTATTGCTCAGAGATGTAAGCGTGTAACGACGTGAATTTGCGAGTGCTTGTTAACGAATGCAATGTTCGCGAGTAAATGTGATATTAAAATCTTGAATTCGAAATTTTCCATATGCTTCTTATCTCGAATATAAATCAATAGAATCCCCAGCATATAAAAACAACTACTTGGTTTCTAAGTTTATACTAGAAATCAAGCTTTTATAGCCAAGTAATGATATAATAGTTTTCATTGATAGAGATAACATTTGTATCACTCTTATAAGTAAATAATAAATTTTGACTCATTTCATTTGATTTATTTATTGTCAATTTTAAAACTAACTTATTTTTATTTTCAGCTCTTTCTGACAAACCGATGTTTGCTGAGCCTATTCCAAATGTCACAGTGGCACTCGGGAGGGATGTTAGTTTACCTTGTGTTATTGAGAATCTTGGAACATATAAGGTAAGTTTATGAGAATGAATATCACTATTAAGTTTGATGTAATTTTATCATTTTAAGAATCATTACTGTTGAAGTGGAGTTCTATTATACATATTTCTTATCATTTCTATAAAATCTCTGTACAGACAGTTTTTTACTTGAAACTGAAATATTGCTGGAAAAAATATACCCTTTCTTAAATTATAAAATTTTAGATATACATTTTTGAAGTAAATTAGCTATAAAGGTTTTATGTGTTAGCAGTAATATTAATGTTGCTAGCGTTTTCAATGAGATGCATATACAGTACTTTTTCAGCGAATAATTTATTCGAGTACTAATTATCGGTTATGTACCGTCCAACCACACAGAAATGTCCGAATGAATAAGTAGGTTATATTTGTTAATGAAAACTTCATGTTGCATCGATAAATGCTATTGTAAAATTTTCAAACTCTCAACCATACGCGCACTAATTAATGGAGCCAATCATATTTTACTTAATTAATTAACAATAGATCTGTAAAAAATCACGTTCAATTGACGTGCTTCGAGAATAGCCATTCGCAAATGAGATTTGATAGTAAATTTTGTTGAAATAAGACAATTTTTTAGCTTTGAATTAATTTACTTTACCTTCAAGAATTTATATATCATAAAAAATAAGACAAATATTTTTAAGGGTTTACCAGAATACAAGTAAGTAATATGTAAGCTGCAAGATTATAGATTAATTACAGAACTCGATGTAAAAAGCCTTCCAAGCTGATAAGATAGATATGCATTTAAGAGTTTGGAAAGTTTGATAAGTCCGTAAAAAATGAAAACTTCGGCGAACGGATTAAATATCTTACAATCTTTTCAAATTTCTGCGCATAAGATAATCGCGGCGGTCGATTATAAATGTGATCAATTTGTAGAAGACAGGGATTTGCGGTACCGTGTCGTGTCGTCTTGACAGAGAGAGAGAGAGAGAGAGAGAGAGAGAGAGAGAGAGAGGGAGAGAGAGAGGGAGAAAGAGAGAGAGAGGGAGAGAGAGAGAGAGGGAGAGAGAGAGACGGAGAGAGAGAGAGAGAACGGATAACGAGGGTGGCTAAAGTTGACAGTAGGTACTTATGTGCACTATGAAAAATGAAATATAGAGGGAATGAGAATCGAGCAGCAACTGGAGGGTGAATGGTAGGCAAGCAGTAAAAAGCGCAAAGAATCTGGTGGGAAATCAGGAGGCCGTGGTCTTAACGTAACGGGCAACGGCAGCGACGTTGAAATTTTTAAAAAGTTGATTAAAACAGACAGCGCCGTTCTTTGCAGTTCCGCGGCTTCGTCGTCGTTCAGCTCCGCACGTAACGACTTGTCACGCGACGCTTTCTCGGAAAGTACCAAGCGAGAGGCAGCTCACAGCCCTCAAGCTGAATATGAATAAGTAATTTTGACGCTCTTGATCGTTTCAGTCCTCAGGGGGTTTCTACGCTAATTTAGTTTACCCGATATATCTTATTAAGATTAGCATCGCTTGACATTTATAGTAGCTGTTGCTTCTCATCCATTCAACGGTTTATGTAAATTTTCTTTCATTGATCATTGCTTATGTTTGCGACATTTATAAAACTCATTATGCGCGCTTATTATTTTCAAATATCCATGTAAAATATGTTCCAAGATTGATTTCTGCCATTTGCCCTACTAACGCGTGTTTCCCAAAAATTCCTCATCCAATTTGTTTTCTTGAAATGTGATAAAAAAAATTAGTTTATTACAGCTCAGTACTTTTGAACCTGTAGGAAGAAAAAAGAGCGGTGAGCTTAATTTTTGAAATATACTAAATTTAACGGAATCAAACATTATTGAAGACTCAGATGAAAGTTCAGTTGGTGAAAAAGGCTATAGGAAAATTCTTGCTCTGCAGGCGATGAATCATCCAAGCGAATCGTAAAACCTGTGGGATGGAGTAGAGTTTTTATTTCTTTTTTTTTTTTCAATACGTGTGTTTTTTGAGCAAAAAAAATTGGCGGAGAGCTCGTGCAAACTTAAGCCGGCTTTCGCAGGCGCGCGCTCGAGCGAGAGAATTCAGTTTTATTGACTGGGAAACGAGGAGGGAGCAAGAGTTATGAGAATTTGGAAAAGTACCGAAAGTTACGTTTTGCCTATGCCTTGTGCGCACACTGCCGAGCTTCTGGGAAAACTCGAGGTTACAAAGCGACGCGAATGTGTGTTCCAGTTGGGCGTGTGGAAAGCCTCCTAAGGCTTGTGCTCGTTCGAGACTTTAGCCAACTTCTTGCTAAGGTCTCGTATGCGCTGAAAATTTCATTAAAATACCAGGCATAGTTTCGACAGGGAGTTCTAATCCGTGTTCGAAGGACGTATGCGCGCGCTAAATGCTTCGAACGCGCTGCCATGCACACACTTCCTCAATACCGCGCTCGCTAACTCGCTCTACGTTCCGGAACTTGAGATCTTAATGCATTGTTCATAAAATAACGCTATTTTTAATTGGTGTCATGATTTATATTTCTAGTATAATGTACCAGACTGTTTATGAATAATTCAATTCAATAATTGAGCTCGACTAGATAGCATCCAGTATCGTTATCAAGAGAAATTCAAACACGATTCCGTTATTTTTATTTTTACAGCCGTTCCTTCAAGTTTAACACTCATAATCTATACGTTTTTATTTTGAATGAAAAAGTCTTGGATGAGGCAAGCGAAAGAAAAGTTAGTGACCGAAGGTAAAAGAGAAAAACATCAATTCATATGTAAATGTGAAGGTACGCCTGGCGAGAAGTGGGGTCCACTCAAGTTGGTTGCAAGCTCGAGGCCCATCGAGATTTAGTGAGAGCGATCGTGGCGAGCTAAAGTGTGCGCGAGCTAGCAGCAGCTGAAGTTTGCGATCAAACTGTCAAATGAATAAATTACAAGCGTGCGCGCGCGAGTTCACCCGGAGAGGAGATGGAAATGATTATTCTTTGAAAAATTCATGCGCATTACGTCGCCCAGGCGTGAGGATGGTAGCCCGAGAGAGAGAGAGAGAGAGAGAGTGTGTAGGCATGACAAAAACGTTCGGAAACCATTCACTCGCTTTCATCACCGTTTGACAAATTGTCGCGGACACTCACACAGAGTCGCATTCGAGTTATTCGCTTATCCCAACAGCTTAATTCGCGGCCGCGGGGCTTGCGTTAGCAAAAAACAGCAGCAAGTAGAAGAGTAGCAGGATACAAAAGAAGGAACATAGAGCCACATGCCGCACGCTGGCGCTCGAGGCTTTTGAACCGCTGCCAGAGATTTCAATCGAGCTTGCACTCCGATAGAGAAAGACACTTTTTCTTGTGGATTCGCTTGGTCCAATAAACGTAACGCAGCTTCCAACTGCAAATGCAATCTTTCCCTCGCACGCTGTATACTTTTCAATTTGTTACCCCTATCGTAAAAAAGGTTATCAGCTCACTTTGCAAACTTCATCTCGACAGTGGATACCCTTTCGCCACATGCTTTCATTCGTGCTTTTTTAAACACTTAAGTGCTTGGAATTTTATTTCAAAATTAATTTCACGTAATCGACTCGTAAACTGCATTCTTTTTTTCTAAATCTTGGGCTTATCTTAACTTACGAAAAAAAAATTGTTTTTGTTTTCACGTTACCTATAAAAACCTAAGTTTTTTTTTTAATGATCAGCCTTTCATAGAGTTTCCTTTTTTTCGGCAGCGTACTCGAAAAATATGTCATCGTACTGGGCAATAAAAAGAGTAACGAGAAAAAAAGTAAAGAGTCGGGTATCATCCAGAATGTAGAGAAATTTCATAATTAGCAGGCAACATTTATTTAATGCGAGCCCCGTAAGCATCTTAAATTTACTTGAACAAAGTTTGCGAGTTCGTTAAGGGGCCTGACGAGCGTGTGCAGAAAAAAGGGGGTGAGCGCGCAGCCTCACGCCACGACGACGACGCCGACGACGACGGCAAGCACTCTCTTGCAGCAGCCGGGAGAGAGGAAAAGAGAGCGCTATTTAAATTTTCCTCGCGGCCACTTGCCGTTGCCGCTTAAAGTCGTTTCCGCGTGCTCTTTTTTTCGGCGGAAATAAATATAACCACTTTGAAACGAAGCAAGCAAGAGTAAAGGAAAAGAAGAAAAAACTGAGTTTAAAGTGGCGGCCCGTTTGGAGTCGTGAGCCCGCTCTGCCGTCACTGCTGTCGCATGAAATTTTCGCAAGAACGCCGTATGAGCTTTGTCGCGGAATAAGCTTAGTTAAGGTGAAAGTCGGCTCGTTGGTCTGTAAAACACTGTCGTAATGGCTTTGCCGCTGGCGTTTCAACTCACTCCGCACCTCACCTCCTCACCATCCTCCCTTGCTTTCTCTTTTCCTCTCTCTCTCTCTCTCTCTCACGTACAGTTTTCTCTCAGTAATATGCGTACATATTCGCGGACCGGCGAAGAAGCTTGTCGTCCTTTGCTGCCACTTGTGGCGTGGCTGTATAAGTGCATACATACGTTTCTTGACGTTACAAAGTAATTTCAGAAAGAATCTTTCAAGAATGCACCACTGTAAGCTCGCTGCTTTATACGTATACCTTTGGCTTTTTTCTCAAAAACATGCAAAAGTAAAGTAACAAAATACGCAAAGTAAGCGATCTCGAAGCGGATTGCAATACTTGAGAAGTTTAAAATTAAACTTGTTTAGTAACTATGTGTAATAACTACGTTTAGTAACTATGCGAATGAAATATTTTGATAAAAACGCGTAATATATCATAGGAATCAAACCTTCATAAATAAATATATTATGTCATTTACGATCCGAGTTTTATATATTGATTAAATATCCTCTCATGTTTATAATCAGTACCACCGCTTATTCATTTGGTGTTTGGGTGTTTGGTCCTAATAATATGCCAGTATTAAATAATAAAAATGAATGAACAATTCAATATTTGGTTGATGTGCTTGTGATTCAATTATAAAATGATACTCTATTAATTTATTGATGGACTTATCTGTTGCAAAATAAAAGTATATTTATTGAAAAATAGATGTACGAACAATCGTGCTTGTACGCAAAATTAATAAAAAGGAAGCTGACTTTCAACATTTTTACAAGTTACGCTTCGACCAAGTCAATAAAGAAACATGACTGCCTCGAAAATATAGCCTTTTAAATGAAACTACTGCCATTGAAACCGATCAATTCGTTGCGGAGATTATGCGGACACGCATGAAAAGTCAGGTCGAATAGAGCCTCGTTACGAAATCGCAAAAAAGGGGCTGAGCAGTTTTATTTACAAATTACATAAAAATTTTTATATGTTGCTTTTTCTCGACAATGACATACTAACACTGCTACATGATCAATCAACTTGAAAGTGATATCTTTGGAATCGACAAGTGAAAAGACGAAGAAGGAAAAACTGAAAGACCCGGTATAAGCATGTAGCAAACTGATAGCTAGGTATAATGCGGGATTACGGAGAAGAAGTGATATAAAACGAAAAGTGAAAAAAGTTTGCGCGTAGAGAAAGGACTCGTTTTCTTTAACTGGCGGCGTGTAGCGCTTTTCCGAAAAAGCAATCTCGTTGGCAGCTGCGAGCTTAGACGTGGAAATGAGACAACATTCTAAATATCAAACGATCGGGCTCGACACCGAGCTGACTCGCTATATTTTCACTCCTTTTCTTTCTCTCTTATGACTATATACATATATAAGCTTTCCCAAACTTCTCTCGGGGGAGCAGCGAAATCACGTTACCTACTTGTGGATGGGAGAAGCACCTACTACAATCCTCGGGGCGTAGGCTGACGGCTCTATTGGAAAATTTCTCACATTTTTCTATCTTCTGTCGACTTTTTTTACGCCACTCCTCTTCTCAGCTGTGTCTCTTGCTCTTCTGTCACGGACTTTCTTTCTAGTTTTCAGCTAACAATTAAGCTTTTGGCAAGTTGTAAAAATTTATTTAAGTAACAACAGTAATTTGACAATTAGTTGGGTAGTTTATGTAAATCCTACCATAACAATTTAAAATTTTTTGTTGAATTATTGACAATTATTACATAAAGACAGGCTGATCAATCGATGAGACAACATTTAATAGTGAAATATAAACCTCCGTCATTGACACGCACTCGTTCATATTTTGTCTGGTGCTACTGTCTAAATTCAATGAAATTGAATAATTGAAAGAGGAGAATGTCTCATGCAATCGATCGCTGACAAGTGCTAAATAAATTATACGTTCCATAGGAGTTATTTGAATTATAAAATATATCATACAAATAGCTTAAGAATCATTATATATTTATTGTTGCAGGTGGTATGGATACACGTCGGCAGGCAGATGCTCGTCTCGGTACATAAGCACGTAGTCACAAAGATTTCAAGGTTCTCCGTGTCGAACGACAATCACAAGACCTGGCTACTACACATACACGCGGTCGAGAGACAGGACCGCGGTTACTATATGTGTCAAGTCAACACAGTTCCGATGATGAGCCAAGTGGGATTCCTCGAAGTCGTTGGTAATTTCATCTGATCTCTAGGCCATCGATATTCTAATTTTACTTGAGTTGTTTTTAGAAATAGATCAATCTAAAGAACTTGCGTATTCACTGTTTTATATTTATATACCCGTAACATTCGAGTGAACTGTCACATGTCAAACTCCATGACGACCCAATGCATAAAAAAAACTTTTTCATTTTAAACGTTCGAGAAAAAAATATATCAATAGGAGGAATATTAAAGTAAAACGAAGCCATAGGGTCAACAAAGTGAGCGGGCGTTTTTTGATTGCAGTGCCACCGAACATATTGGACTCGGAGTCGACATCGTCGACAGTGGCAGTGCGCGAGTTTCAAAACGTCACGCTTGTCTGCAAAGCCAACGGCTTCCCCGTACCCACGATCAAGTGGAAGCGCGAGGATAATCAGGGCATTCCACTCGCCGACCGACGCACTAAAGGTGAGATCACCTCGCTACATTCTTTATCAGTTGTTTAATAATCCATTTGAACACCGTAACACTTTCCTTAGTTTCTTCTTTTCATTGGTTCGCTCCGAGTGCATGTCCTGATTAATTTGATCGACTTGAAAGGCATTTTTTTTTCCTTCGTCATTTTGAAATAATGAATGGTGTAAGATAAAAATAGCTCGTTTAGGCATTGCCATTAATTCGGCATATTTGACATTGCTATACATTTCACGAAGTTTACTAATGTAAAAAAAGCTGAAAATAAAAAAAAATGCAGCTGTTCTCGCTTTAACTGGTCAGCGATTATTATAAAAAGCACCAAGGCTCAATATTGTACGTTGAGCACCCTTAAAATCAGTAGCGAGTGAGAATGCTGTGGGTTGCGGCTTCAATCGATCGCATGACATGCTGCGATCGATCGAAGATGCAACCATAACAGCAATATGCGCCTACGCCTCTTGTTTGGCCAAAAGCTCGACTCATTGACGCGGGCGAACGCATTGTGCGTTTTTGTCGCCGTGACGCCAATTACAGCTCCAGGTTTTCCTGGAGGCTGTAGTCCTCGCGGTATACACATGGCTACCGGACTGGTGGGCTTATTTACGGTAAGAGTTAGCGTATGGCTAACTTTAGACAGGCAGGCTGACGAACTAAAAGCGCTCGAGAGCACGGAAAGCGGGGAGAGGTACCGAAAAAGAAGAGTGCGGCTGTCCATTAAGACTGCGCGAAACAGTCGTTTATTTAAAAAAATGTAAACTTCGATGGATTTTTGTCTCTTAAAAACGTGAGACAGGCGCGCGCCAGTGCGAGCTTAGCTTTAGCCAACTACGCATCGCTCATCATTGTCCTTTGCTTTCTCCAAACAATTTGTAAAAAATAAAATTTTTAAATCAATAAAGATCGGATTCTTCACGTAACCTCGCCTCCTTTTACAACTAAAGATAAGAAAAACAAATTGATTAACGAAGAGTATGATTCTAGAACATTCTTCTGCCTAATGAGCATTTTATATAATATCGGTCAAATTTTAGTTTTCACAGTGACTTTTAATTTTGTAACTTCTTAAACATAACAAGTATGGTACGATACCTTTACAATGGAAAATCGCAAAATAGGAATGGGTAAATTTAAAGTCTCTCTCTCTCTCTCTCTCTATCACGTTAGCTGTTGCGCAATAACTTGTTTTGCATAAATATGCAAGGTAAAAATGCGATAAACAGATACGAGGTAAGAGAAGGACGCGCGCCCATGTGCGCACACGTAGGCGATATCGCTTGCGAAAGCTCGCGCCGGTATAATTTTCTTAATCGCGCGGTGACTTCCCAAACAAATGTACATATGTGCACGAGTGCACCGAAGCGAACGCGAGATTAGCTGAAGATTCATAAAGCAAAGATAGAGGATAAAAGTAAAACAAAGATTGAAGAAGACGGAAGAGAACAGACGCGCGTTGGTGGTGCAAGCAGCGAGTTCTTAAATATTGTAGGGATTAATCAACTTGAAACTTCACCCCCTTTACTCTTGCCCGTGGGAAAGTGATGGTCCAAAGCAGCGCAAGAGTGAGGGCATTTACTTTGGCCGCACGGAGGGGCACAAGACTGAGATGAGTGTATGAAGGGGGATTACCTCGCTGGAGTAAGTAGCTGACAGGTGCTGTGTAAGCGGCTACCGTCGTTGTTTATGGCGCGGCTTTATATACAGCCGCCTCTTGCGCGCATATCGTAGATTTTGACAGATCCAAGCTGCGCAATTTCATACGTAATACAATTTTGTGCATCTACATATCGGAATTAGTCCATAGATTTTTTGGGCCCTGAATATCAACGGCATTTATCTGTTTAAATATTGATGTGTACTTTTCAATGCTGCTAATAAATACTCGATGCTGTGATAACAGTATTTATAAATATGAATTTTCATTCCGTTTTCGGCTGAACGCGAGCAAAATAACCGAATAACATGGTCATACCAATTCCATGCGTTCGATGAAAAATCAATTCAAGGGTTCGCGTATATACATGTGCGATAGCTGTGAAAATCAAATGAAATCACGACGAAAGACATTTGAAAGGAAGCAAAAGTGTAAAAAATAAAAAAAAAATCAATAAAAGAATATATAGCTGGGGCAAGCGTGTAGGCAGCAATGATCACAGGAAAATGAAAAAGTAAGCAGGAAAGATTGGGAGCAAAGAGAAAACGCGGGAAAAGACAAAGAGTCTATTATGTATAGCGTATGCCATAGCGACGACTCTAAAGGGAGAAAAAAAGCGAAAAATTATGCGGGCACACGTCGTCGAACGTGAGAGAGAGAGAGAGAGAGAGAGAGAGAGAGAGAGAGAGACGAGCGGACCGAGCAAAAAGGAAAAAGTCTCGTCAAGTGATGATGGAATTATGCAAGAACGAATAACTTATACGACCTTCCTCTATATTTCTCTTCGCCCGTCGCAGTAGCAGCTCACGCAGCGCTAATTAAAAAATAGGATCGTCCGCGCCTTGGCGGACTATCAATTTCGCGCTACGTCGCTTGATGAATGGCTATGATAATCGTCCGGCTCCGTTCCTATATGTCCTTTTTGGACATCGAAGACAAGCTTATAAAATGAACGTCTGACGTGTGACTCGTCTTGCCTTCAATTATTTTATACGAAATAAATTTCATCAATTCGTTTTTAAAATTACTCCTTCCTAATTCTCATGAATTTTCTTAAAGCAATGACTGTTCTTATTTTACTTCTGACAACCTAACGGTTGCTGGCTTATATTCGTACCATAGGACTGTTTTACACAATCCAGTGTTTTCAATATTAGATTTGATTGCTAGAATATCATAAAACTGAATTATTAGTCTGCGTTATCCATTTTATCAATATGTGCTATTATCAAGTAGCGTAAATAACTGATTCCTTGAGTATTTTATAATTCGGTTAGTCGAAAAATAGAGTTTTCATTCATTCATAAGCCAGATATCATTGAGATCAGATTGGCCGATAAGATACAATAAATATCGAATGTCTTTAATTGAACATAATTAAATTGTGAGTATCTGATGTACAACGTGTGCTTCTTGTCGTCCATTCAAATTGAATAATTCAAATCAATTAAATCAATCGAGTTACATATTTATCAGTACAATTTATTTAGCTTTAAAACTAAAAATACACAGAGTTACATGAAAGTGCTAAAACATTGAGTACAAAGAGAGGTAATCGATAGTCGACAAATAGACAGGCAGTCGAGGAGAGAGAACAAACCGGCATAAGCGGATTCATCAGAAGGGTATTATCGCGAAATCGCACGCGAGTGCTTGGAGCTCTCTCTCCGCACCCGTATCCTAATGTGTGCACACGCCACTATACATAGAGCATAGTCGTCGACGACGCCGTCTTTGCGCCTCTCTCTCAGCCTCCGAGCTCCATGTACAAGGGAAATGGTGGGCTAATAAGGGAAGGAAGAGGTAGGAGGTCGAAGGCGCAGTGTGCGCTGCGTCGCCAAACAACGGAACTCGCGCTTCCTACTCTCTCGCGCTCTATGTGTAGCTTCGTTTCGAATGCACAGGCCAGAGCTGGCGCAGCGAGCCCAGCAGGCGCCAATTATAAATTTAAAGGGGCAATCGGTTTCTCACTCTCTCCCTCTCCGAGTTTTCGAAAGCGCGGCGGCGTAGTAAAGAGTTTTGCCCTGTTTCCTTTTGCGCTTATACGCGATTATAGCCACATCAATTTGGCCATTTGCTTACCGATTTGTTAACCGTATCTCACGTATATCTTCGCATTATTGCCTCCGATTTTAATCTTGATACGCACGCTCACGGTCACATGTCGTTTCTAACAATTGCTCTATTAGAGGTTTCACGTAGCACGTGCGCGTTATTCGCAAACTGTACGCAAGCTGTACGCAAGCTGTACGCAAGCTTCATCAGTTGAATTCAAATTGGGAACCATCGTAATGACAAAGCTCACCCAACCAACTTGTTATTCACCGAGACACTCTTGTGCTTGTGGTTGGTGATAAAAAAAGCTAAAAAAGTAACGAGCAACGTAATAATGTTTATATGAGAGAGAGAGAGAGAGAGAGAGAGAGAGAGAGAGAGAGAGAGAGAAACTGGTGTGGCTGACATTGACGAGGCGCGTCGTTACCTGGCGCTGCTCGAATTATGTCGCAAGCGCGCGCATACACCACGCAAACCGCAGCCTCCCTTGCGTGGCATGGAAACATTGCGGTTTCCTCGGGCCTTTCGCCGCCTACTCGCGGACTAGAAGCCTCGCCACTCCTCTCCCTTCGAGCTGGACGACAGTTGACACTCGGCACTGCTGCTGTGTGCGCGGACCACCATGCAAGACATGCACACGCAAGCGAGGGTAAACGGTAATCGTCTGCGCGTTAACGCCACGACGATCGAGGGAGAGGGACCAGCAGGTGCTGTGACATACGGCCAAGCTGTGTGGCCTATTTGTAACGGTGCCGAAGATTTATATTTTCCCTCTCTCGGACCCTTTACTTTCAATTATTACCCAACGTTTACTGTTGAATTTCACGTTGTTCGATAATGCATCACTTGAATGGTAGTAAAGTAAATAAATATTCGCTGCAATGAAAAGTAGAAGTAACATTTAATGCCAGAGATCAACTTTCAAAGTTAAGAAAGTTTCGGAAGAGTTGCGGCACACAGACGTGAGAACGCAATTGACGATTCTGAAAAAAAGAAAAGAAATTTTTGTCGTGGAATTCTGTTTCCTTTCAAATACAGCGACACACGCAGACACGCTTAACAAGTGTGACAGAAGCACATGCACATATTGTGAGAGGACTATAACGAGAGCATCGGAATTGGTGGTGTGCAGCACTCGCGCGACATGATCGAGTAGGCGCGGTGGGAAGTTATGTGCGCGTATACATACGAAAAGCCTGAACCCACCACGGCAGTTCGCGTGCTGATGGCTCTGCCGCTGAATGATAGAAAGCCCCAGGCAAACTTGAGGCTCGTTAAAAGTTGCCGCGTAGGCGCGCGTAAACGAAAGAGATATATAGATGACGATGGTAAACAGATAGAGTACTAACTGCGAGCCGCATCTGTGAAAAACTATAGTGCGCGAGTTGATCTCGAGCAACGGTAAAAGCCAATTGAGGCAGTTTGAAGGCGAGCGAGCTTTGCGTGCTGGAGGTAAGCTCGCTGCTTGCCGTCGACTGTTTAAGTACTTGCCTCTCTCTCTCTCTATACCTAATCGTTGCGCATCCGCTGTTGACTCGCCTGCGCTCGAATATACATGCTTTCAGTGACTTGGGCTAACCGCGCTGATTAATTAATCGAGGCTATGTTATTCGAGAACTGTTTGCTCTATGTAGGCCACCTACCTAATCATATGGATGATTTCCACTTGGCATAACAAGATTATTCTGCTAGAGCTCTGAACATAATGTTGTTTTCGATTATCAAAGCTTTGAGCACTCTTACTATCGTGCTGAGGTAGAAATGTAGAAATGGTCTTTTATATCGTCGACCCACTAATGCAAATCGGAAGCTCAAACATACTTCCTCGTAGCTTTCAGCATCTGAACAATTATATGCATCAACAGTGCAGAAGTAATGGTCAGTAATGGAGAATCTACCTCCCGGTAAAAGCAAAATAACAAAACGAGCAAAACGAACAAACATGTTAATGCATTGCCGATTTGAGGAAACATTCGAAGCCATATCAAACTGATACGTGTTCGATCAGAATTGCATTACTGTATTTTGCAGTGTGTTGACTATCGCGCGGAACTTTTCGAGTCTTGGATGAAAAGGAGAGGGAAACCTCGTACCGGATGGCCGTAAAAAGCCCTTACCTCTTGTCGCCCTCTCACTGGCTTTTATGCGTCCTCGTGTTTTCCAACAGTTTTATTTCATTTTTTTTTGTTTTAGTTTTTTCCGATCTATTGCCTTTTTGTATAAACATTCCATTTCCCTTTTTATCAATTTCAATACTAGCTTTGGCCTGCAAGCTTTCCAGACAATTTAAAGAGTTATGAGAAATAGATAAGCTTTTATTTATCTGTTGGAAATTACAAACTTTGTTAGGTTGAAAAATACTCGAGTTCTTTTCATAATTAACGAAAATAAATCGTTGTTGCGATTATTAGGCAGGGATTTTTATTACTAAGCATACTTCAAACAAGAGTATAATAATTACTCGAAAGATTTATGGACAAATTTCATTTGAAGAACAGTACTTAAAGCAAAATGTAGAATACGTTTCTTTGCGAGTATCAAGCGCCAGAGTTTATTTCAACTTTGCAGACACAGTTTGTAAATAACTCGTTGCGCGCTCCCGCTAAAGTTTCTTGCGGTAGTATAACAGTAGCAATAAACCTTCACTTGTCAATGCCTATACTTCTCGCTCAGCCCGCCTCCTCGCTTTCTCTCTCTGTACTCTTTGTTCTATCTTTTACTCTTGATTCTTGGGTGCATCGCGCGGACTCTTTGGAACTTGCACATTCAAAAGTGTCTACATATTAATTTTTGCTTAGAGAGAGACTTTTGACGACGTTCCGTAGTTAATTTGCCATCAGAGCGAATGAGCGAAAAGGAAGTCGATGCAGCGGAGCGACCTCTCAAGCATACCAAGCTCAAAAGTCCATTTATATTTGAGGCCAACTTCCTCTTGAAACTCAATGCTTCTCCAGTTTTATTCGCTGCCATGCGCGAATCACGCAAGAAGGTAGTAAAACGCGTGACGGGCGAACACGGTCGATGGATTTTTTTGGTCTAGACTTCCCAATTAAGTGCTTCTTACTACTGGCTCGCGACTCATTTTACTCTATTCAATAATCCACGATATTTTTTCTTGTTTTCCATCTGGCAATTACGAGTAAATGCATGTTCTCGATATTTTTGCAGTGACCGTCTACGAGGATGAAACGCTCAACATTACGAAGATATCGAGGAACGAAATGGGTGCCTATTTATGTATAGCAAGTAACGGTGTTCCACCGACAGTGAGCAAAAGAATTATCGTCGACGTCGAATGTAAGTATTATTTATAGTCTCTGAATAATTGCAATTGAACAAAACATCAAATTCCAATTTGCTCGCAATCTATCTGTCAGATGTCTCTCGAGAGAACTGAAGTTTCCGAAATATTGAAAACCAATAATCGAAGTAATTAAAGCTTCAAGATAAAAGCGAATAATCCTTGCTATGTCTCTGCCGTTAAAATTATTATAACTGGCGAAGAATTGTTTGAATAAAGTAAAAGGCGACGCGAAGTCTAGCTTTAGACGTGTGTGAACACGTCTAAAGCTTGAAGGTTAGTGTCATACGATATCAATGAAGGAGCATCAGAAGTAGGTGTCTATTGACAAGTTATCCTTTCATGCTTCAATCTGGGCTTACTTTAGCAGCTCGAACGTCATTATTTTTCATCTAGGAAAAATGCGATCCACCTCTGCGCGTAGTTCTCTCAGCTCGTCGTCGATAAAACGCGCAGGCTCGACGTCGCAAAGTGCATGTATAAAGGGAGCTGCGAAGAAAGGCGAGTGGCGGATGCTATATCGACGAGAGCATGTATTGTTTAAATTTGATTGTTACGCGCCTACGAGGGGCAGAGTGGGTTTCGGAGTAAACAAGTGGATAGCAGTAGATTGGCGTTGCATGTATCGGGCGAAGAAGAAACCCATGGGAAATACGCGGCGCAGGGCCTCTGTTGCGCAAGCAAGCGTCGGCCAAGCGTCCCGCAGGTCCCGCTCATTTTTCCCCTTTATGCGCTCCATTCGTTTGTGTCACTGTACCCACTCTCTCGCTCGACCCCTACCCTAGTGTTCGTGCCCGCGGGCCACGTAAACACCATCGAGAAAAAGTCAAGAGAGGAAAGAGTGCAGTCAAGCCCCGCGGGGCTATACCCGATGTTGTTGTCGCATAAGTAATAATCGAATGACGTACGCTTGCAGCTTTTCCTCTCTCTCTCTCTCTCTCTCTCTGTCACGTTGTACACTCTAACTGTTTGTATTGTTTTCTGAATCCACATTCGAAAATTGAATATTGAATATCACGTCAAATTTATTCCTCTCTTGCAGCTCTGTCACCGCATATGTAGCATCAAAACCTGTATGGCTGAATGCTAAATTGACAGTTTGATTATTCCTCGAATTATCCGTCGTCTCGTTTTCGTTCTCGTGGTGATAATTGTTCTGAAAAAAACTCCATCGAAGCGTACATTATGCGCGAAGCCTAAGCGATTAATCAATTAGCGAGCGACAAAAGGATCCACGTCGAAAGTTGTTTACGTAGGTCGAAAGTAAAGACAGGCGATAATTTGAGCCACTTATGAATATCAAGCGAGCAAAATGGAGGCAGCTAGTGTGTACGCGCGCGTGTACTAGAAACATAATACTAAAGCAAATTGCAGCGGCATGAAGCAGCTTCCGGAAGGGAGGAAAGGCTCGCCGGCGGGATAGCATAGGCCGAGGAGAAGCCAGGGCAGAAGTATGCGTTAATTAGGGGGTAGGTCAGCGGGTGCGGCAATCTGCGGATTTGCGGCAAGCCTGTCGGCTACATGCCACGGCCGCGAACCCGATACGTGAATTCGACGTGAACGAATACAGTATACGTGTGTGTTTACGTATCGCCGTACACACGAGAAAGGAGAGCTCGTGAGAGTTATAGCCGGGGAGAGAGCAAGCAATAAGATTCTTACCTTGGATTCGAGCCCGCGAGCTTGTTCGCAATTTGCTGGTATTATCGCCTTTCCCAACGGCAACAACTTTTCACTCCCGCGAAATCTATAAATGGCCTCTCGTTAAAATTTCCGAATGAGCTTGCGTTAACCCAGTCGAAGAACACAGCGATGAGTTGGGAAGGCGCACAATAGCGAGTCTGAAAAATCATTTATCATCGAACGCAGCGTTCTGAGCGCGACGCGAAAGTTGGTGGCGACAGAGCGGCTGGCTTTGCTGGCGCGGGCCGGGGTAAAGATAGAAAACCGATAAAATTGTGCTTGTTGAAGCGTGATTTATATAGGCGATTTTTTTTTTTTTTTTTGGTTTACGAGCTCGAGCGCCACCGAACGAGCAATCATATCGCTTTTTTCAATCTCTTTCTCTCTCCCCTTTGATTTTTATACGTGATTATTCATACGATTATGTACGCCTATACACGTCGCGATTATTCGATTTTGCTTTTCAATCTTGGATCTACGTCGCGCGCGCGCGCTTCGATCACTCGCGCATTTCAAGAGTCGGAGAGAGCCAGAGAGCGCGACGGCGTTAACTAAACATTTGCGCCCGACAGATCAATCGTTCCTTTGGTCGCCAACTTCATCTCACGTATATAGGCTGTATTTTTGCATGTGCGTCAAATCGACGCTCCATCAAATTCAAGAAGAATAGCTCTCGCTCTAAATTTTACCATTTGGAAACTTCTGAAAATCCGACGCGAATGCTGACCCAATAAACAGCGAGCAAATCGATTGCCAGCGGTGAAAATTAAAACAACGTCTTTGCGCTCGGCTCTTGTCTTTTTCTGTAGGCGTGTTTTGGCAATTTTTTCAAGTATCATATAGATCGCGCTTCGTCCACCGCGCAACACGTATGTATGCGTCACGTGTGGGACGTTAGTTGCGTGCTTTATCTGCCGAGCAACGGCCATCCGAGGATGGGCTCCAATTTATCGTTCGGCCATATCCCCCAACGACGACGAACGTGTGAGTGAGTGAGAGTATGAGCATTATGCCGCCCATCTGCTAGTACGTATGTGTGTGTATATATATATTGGCAATATAACGTAAATTCAGGACGCATTGTCTCTTTGCCCTACAGATGACATCGCGTATCTCGAAATACGCGAGAATACAAAAATCAGATCTACGTGTTCGCTCTCAGTCACTTTACTGAAGTCACGTATCTCCTTAGTTTACCAAATTTTCTCGCACATTCACTGTCTACGTATACATCATGGAATGCTTGCGGCATGTAGTCAAAGTCAGATAGCTTGGTGTACCAATTTTCTCATTAAACAATCTGAATATCCGAAAAAAACATTGCGTTTATTATCATTAAAATATTTACCAATTTGCTAATTGACAAATTTTCAAGTAAAAATAAAAGTCCGTAACTTTTCACGTGAAAGCGAGAGCCATTGAAGCTTGTTATTTTTCCACGAAAAACGGTCATTCAACATGAATATCGCTGCGCAAATACACAAATTTCACAAATAACATCAATAGAGAGAAAAAATCGTCCAAAAATAAAAAATGTCTGTACAGGTTCATTAGCAAGCTTCAATGACTGGAAACTCGCTTTCGACGTTGGCACGAAATAGAATTTCAATTAGCAAAACAACCTTTAAGCTTTAAATAATTTATTTACCTGTATTTGTTGACTCTGGAAATTGAATACTGGGTTTACGTTCCTTTTTACCCGAGGCATCGATCCTAATCTATTCCACACTGAGAGTCCAATACAATAACAAACACGTATTTTAGATGGAAAAATAACGTTGGTTCACGGACTACATTTTCAAATCTGCTAGGATCTCATTTCATTATTAAAACCGACGATGCAAAACAATTTGTCAGAATACCCATTCACAAGATTTCTTAATATAAATATATTTTCTGTTTCATATGCAAAGTCTCGCCGATGATATTCGTGCCGAATCAGTTGGTGGGTGCGCCCTCGGGTACAAACGTCACACTCGACTGCCAAACAGAAGCTCATCCGCGAGCCATCAGCTACTGGATGTTCAACAACTCGATGGTTTTGTCGACAGACAAGTACGCCGCTTACCACGATGAGAATAGCTACAGGACGCACATGCATCTCAATATAAGTAATTTACAGCCCGGTGACTTTGGCAATTATCGATGTATCAGCAAAAACTCCCTGGGCGAGACAGAAGGTTCGATTAGGTTGTATGGTAAGTTATGTCAATTATTTATTATTTAATAAATTTATTATCTAGTAATTAAAAATTACTAGATTCTTTGATAACATGATTTATTGATGTAATAAATTAACTGAACTATGATTGGACATTCTGATATGCTTATTAAGAAATTGAAATAAAATAAATAATTAGTAAAGTAAATTGAAAATCAAATTTTAAAAGACTCGATTTTATTTTCCAGTCGGATTGACTTATAATCTACAGATAACGTATATATGTACAATGGGATGAGCTTAAACTAATATTTTTTTTTCAAATAAAAAATAGTTCGTTACAACGATATGTCGACACTTAAGTGTAATTGAGCTAATTTGCCTAGTAAAAGATTTTCATTGTATAGTTTATTAAAATTAATAAATCAAAATGAACGAGTCGACAAGCAACAAAAAGGAGAGAGTATTATCGCAGCGCAAAGACGATTTTTTCCCGATTATAGAGGATAAATCTCTGGGCACTGATTTGACAACGAAGACTTGTTTTGAAAATTATTTTTGCTAAAAAAAGAAAAAATAAAATAAAATAACGCCAATAAATCTGCATGCGCGCGCTTTGACGCGACAGCGAAAGCCAATTAAATCGCCTGTCTATTTCAGAATTTTCGAAACCTTCAGCGCCACCCAAAGCGACGGAGATAAAAAGCAGCGCCAACAAAGAAGGTGAGGATGCATTTCTGCTGTTATCTTTCACTTCACTTTCCACTTTACATTGTACAGAAAAAACAAAAGCCCTTAGAAATAGACTTGAATCCTGTCGCAAGCCCGCGTGCATAGCCAGCCTCTTGTCGCCCTCGGCGCGAATTGATGTGCTAGTGGAATAAAAATGATAAAGAAAGAGCAAAGTGTCAGCAGAAGAAGATTGAAAATCTAATAATAGGTTATCGACAATGTTATTGAAAATATCTTGCTTCATCGCGGTGATCTAGTTTCATTGAAATAGAATTCAATACTTTTCTCACCGTCAGCCAGTCATCACCAAGTGCGCACTCATTCTATCTAGATTCATATCCGAGCTTTAAAGGATTGACTTCTAACATTAAATCGATGCACTGTGCCCATCTGTTCGTATATGCAACAATTTGCGGTACACGAACGTCATATCGACGTTAGCACTCTTTGCTTATCGCGCAACAGAAAATTCGCTTGCTTACTACGTCTACGTGCGGACAAATATGAAAAATAGTTCCGAACGTACGCGCGTGAAGCCAAAAGGGAACGTAAGTTGGAGTGTTTCTAAGAGGTTACAAACGAGGTTGCTGATAAAGTACTGATAGAAAAGCGATAGGTAGGCGCCGTTATAGCGTACAGGCAAAAAATCAAGTGAGTTTGAGAAAGATTTCAGAGTGAAGTGAATTAAGATGCAGACGAGGTCCACTTATATTACACATTTAGTCTGTAAATGATTGTTCAATCAATGCTAAAATTTTGTGGGCCAGTGCAATAACTATAACAGATTCATTTTATTATTTACTTGATATAATACATTTACTATTTATTGATAGTAGATAGTCGGATCGTAAATAATAATGTTGTATCGCCCACATTGTATATTTTCGTCATGTATTGTAAATTTTAGGTTGTAAATTTGTCGCATCGCAGTTTATAATTATTGCATAATAATATTTGTTAAATTTAAATCATCTTCTGTCAGAAAACGTTTTATCAAATTAAAGCTACTTACTATTAAATTTCACATAAAATTTCGAATGTCATAATAAATCCTTTAATTATAATTTACTTGTTTATTTTAAATGTCATTAACAATAAAGTATCCCTGAAATCACATATACGTTCGATTTGATGGTGTGTTTCGCGTAAATATTCCCAAAGTAAGATCAAGTGCTCTAACGATCGTAAAACAAGTATACGTACACTCGACTTGTGCATCATGGTCGCGGCTATTTTATAATTTTTCAACGCTAAACCATTACATCGTCAACGTGTCAGCTTAACAAGTGACCTAATTAAAGCACATTTAGAATTCAATTATCGCAGGACATTGAGTCTGACAAGGATCGCCCTAATGAAGTGAAGAGAACGAGTAAATGTGCACTGCGACAAGTCCGTGCTCGCTTAAAAATGACTCAACCTAGCACGTTCAAATATTAAAAAAAAAGATCTCTACTTTATTTGCGTGTATCTGCTTAACTACTCACTTATTATTTGAATTTTTTACCGTGGTTCATTATATGTATGCTCGTGAAGTTTCATTCGAATACTTTGCTCAAAATATAAAAATCGTAGTATTAAAAAATGAATAAGAGAAGGCGAAGCACTAGAAGAGACGTTACAAAGATCACATTGCACGTATCGAGTTCAGCTTATTCTAGCCTCGGCGGGTCTATCCTCTCACATTGTGCGGCGGTTATACTGTATGTGTGGTTCAAACTCGGCCAACTGTTGTTTTCGCTGCGGTGCTATCCTCATCCGGGGCTATGCTGCCGCTAAAACGTGCGTCTCGACGATGCTTGCATCCCTTTGAATTCATTACCGGCTAACCAGTTCGTTTCACCGATACGACGGCTTTCTTTCGTAACTTTCTTCTTTTTTTCGTTTTCGTGTTTCGAGCTTACTTCAAAAGTTTTTACGCGAAATTTAGTTTTTTTGTTGCTTTACTCTTCTACAGTTTATGAGATTACTTTTAATTTCATTCCGTTGGGGGATATAGAATTTCAAAATACTCCCCATGAAACGGTATTTTATATTTTGTTTTGGAAATAAGCTTTCATGAAATTTGTTCTAGATAAGTTCTAGAGTGAGATTTTTATGTCATAGAATTGATAGAAAAAAGAATTTTACATTGTGAGAAATATGTAAGTAATTTAATTCAAGTGTGATTGGACAAATGCATAGTTTCATGAAAGGCACCTCAATTCGTGTCGTTAACTGCAAGTTGAAACGATTGCTTGATGTGACGAAACAAAGCGAAACAAAGTAGAACGTTCTGAGAGATTGTTGATATTTTCCAACATATCTAGACATTGAGGATAGGTGAATAGTATAAAAAATGCTGAAGCTCTGAAAATTTTGAAAATTCAATGAGCTGTTTGCAAATTTGCTGCGGGTATTTCAGTGTAAACGAATAATGCCACGAGCACGATATGCAACCAATGAGTAGTATTTAGATTACGGAATTTCCAACAGCTGAATGAAGCAGAGGGAGGCAGAGAGCGGGATGTTTAATGATGAGCGGTCGCATCCTTTCTATTTCCTGTTTCGCATATCTCTGCGTCTGTCGGAAAGCAATGTTATATCGATCGAGCGTAGCTCTAATTAATTATCGTCGCCCCGTGCGCGCCGCTACGTACGCGAGCGAGAATAATTTCGGGCATTTGTCGAGGATCGTGACGAGCGCGAGAGAGAGATAAGCAGAGAGTTGGCTTTGCCGCCCTGGGCTACATCCTCGCTCGAGACACATTTCGTGCAGCCAGACGACGGACGAGAGAGAAAGGCTGGTCGGAACTTAACTTGATCGATAAGTTACTTGTGCCGGTATGAGCTTCACCAAGCATAAATTTGCCACGCAGCTCGTCGTACGTCGCGATTCTGCGTTCCTATTGCCAATATGCTACACATAAGCTGAATAGTTCTACTAATGAATCATTTCAGTCTATAAAACTAAGCCACTTTCAATGCCAATAAATTTTCAATATTCTTTCTTATCCGACTATTTCGAGTAGAAATATAAAGGAATTTTTAATATTCTTAAGGCATATTGCGCAGTTTGCAGACTCTTTTATAAGCCTTAAGAATTTAATAATCATGTCCAATATTCGTTTCACAGACAAGAAAATGTTTACTGTTGCATGTAGCAATAAAGCCAGTTCACGTGAAATAATTGTGGCACATGAAAATTCCATACAGTCAATTTACTTTTCCGAGTGTGAAATTACGTGGTATACACTGCGCAATTTACGGCATGTTTTTAAAAGGCATCTATCTCGCATAAAATATATTTAATTAGATATCCGGTGAAATTTACGAAGCAACATTCTATACTCATCCGCTATTCGAGACACTTTGTACATCGTTGTAAGTAGTTCAGAATTTCTCGGCCTCTAATCAACAAAATGCTCGCTAGCGTCGCACTTAGCGTAGACTCTAACTAAAATCTCAAAGTTTTATCCCTCTTTGACTCTTTGTCCAAGGCATGGCATTATTCTCCTTGGCAAAATTACGATGTTCTCGGCATCACAATGCTTAATAGAAATGAGTATACAGAAGAGTTAGCGCGCGCGAGATGAATTGCACAGGGCGGCGGCGGCGGCGGTGGCGGCAGCGGCGGCATTGAATGAAAACACTGCTATTCTGCAAGAGTTGAAATAAAGGGAGTGAGAAGAGCACTCGAGGGCCTTGCATTGATATACGCGCTCGAAAATCGCAAGAGAAAGCTCATAAAAAGCTAGCTTTATAGAATCCCAAGACAAAAGAAGCTGCTTGAGATACGGCGGGAGCGGTTTGCTCCTTCGCAGCCTAGCTTTGACACGCGCACGCCCACACAAGCGCACGCACTCGTTGACGAGCGCGGCATCTTCGCACGCCCGATACTCGTGTCAGCATTGGGCAAGTTGCGCTTCTCGTGTAATCTGCGCCAATTACGAAACACGACGACGATATTTCCTCGGATCGTATTATTAGTAAATTCAACCCGTTCGAAATTAAGCTTGCAGATCGATCTCGTTCACGCTCCCTTTAACACGACTATTTCTTCACCTTCGGTTTCTTGACGCTCTTACGTGTCCAATATTTAGCCAAGCTACTTTCCATTTTTCCATGTGCAACAGATCTACGGACTTGCTGGAATGGAGATAGCTTATAACGTATTCGCTTGTCCTTAGCATACAGACAGCTCCCGACGGCCATATTGTCACGCAAGAAACGTTCACTCGCGCACTCAGCACAGCTCCATGTGCACACGCCAGCTCGCAGCACAGAGAGGGTGAGCAGAACGTCATCCCTGGGCAAAACAAAGTTTAGCCACGGGCGTATTTAAACTTTTATTCGGAAACTTTTTAGTGGCTCGTGCGAACGGCAGAGACAGACCGACGCCAAGAGAGAATGTGCCTCATGCAGGAGAGAGACAGAGAATATTCCGTAGTGTGGGCCGCAGTCTGACGCTAAGAGACCTATCTCTCTCTCTCTCTCTCTCTCTCTCTCTCTCTCTCTCTCTCTCTCTCTCTCTCTCTCTCCTCTCTCTCTCTCTCTCTCTCTCTCTCTCTCTCTCTGTACGAGAGAGCTGGTCGAGCCAAGCCATGTGTGTTTTGTGCCACGAGACAGCGCGTGCAAGTGAAGTAGACGTTGTGCCAGCTTTTAATGGCAGATTACCCAGCTTTTTTTACCTACTAATTTTATGCTTTATCATGTGCCGACAAAAATTTATATTACGCTCTACTCGTACTTGTTTCTTGACACGCTTAAATCAATTCAATAGATACTCAAACATACTTGTACTTAACATTCTTTCATACATTGGTTACAAAATCCGTTCAAATAATTGGCTAACAAAATAAATTATCGCAAGTTTGTTAAATTACAATTTATTTAACATTGGTTCAACTATTCGAGCGACAATAAATTCGTCGTTTGGTAATAAAAATGATGACTAGTAAACAGTTAGGTGACAGCGATAACCAACTTAATGGATTTTGATTGAGCTTGATTAACTTTCATCCAATCTTCTGACAGTCTCTCTTTCCCTTTCTACCACTTAACTTGTACTCAGTGGTATACAGCTGAACAGCGAGCGGGGAAAAGAGCGAGCAAGTGCGCGTCTGTTGCCGAAGATGCACACTTGGCGAAGCTCTTGTATAATCGAATGCAACAAGTTGGACGCTTTTCAAAAGTCAGCTACGCGGGCAAAATGTAGATTTGTGAGCTTTCGACTTGAGAGTGATTATGCATGCTTCCGAGCTTCGCTATACTCGCTATACGCGTTACTCCTCCTCCCAGCCACTGTTGCGTCCGTAGTTACCATCTACTTTGGGCATTGTTTGTCGCTTACGAGGCGCATACTTGCTCTCTGTATCCTACTTGGACCAAGTCACCGACGAAACTACTATTAGTTACCGAGACTAATGGACTATTTTCGACTTATGTATTTTCTTAACAATGATGGATTTCAGTGTTCATGAATATGAACAGTTGAGCATCAATACTTCAACTACAATATATACAACGGAGTCATGTTTCACTTGTGAATAAGAATTACATGCTATATATTGAAAATTCAAATGACGTAATTAGAGAAGAAACTTCTTATTTGATGGAATTTTAATCATATTAAAATTATAAATTCCGTTGACCAATCATTATTTAAATATTATATAAATGAATGACACTATAAAGCTCTGTTACGAGAATATTTTTGCTGTCACAAAATTCTATTGGCAATAACAAGCGAGACTATTTAATTTTATTACTGTAGAAACAAAGTTTAATAAATAGAAAGAAAAAAAGGTATTTTATCCTCGTCTGACTATCTTGCTCTCGTTACAGTAACAGTATGTTCGATCGCGGTCATTTTTCGATTTTTTATTTTCAAGGTTTTTTAAAAGGCACGTCATGAATAATCGTTAAATTTCCTCGTACTCGCTCGGATGAGATCCATTAGCAATAGAGAATTCATAAAAACTTTATATTCCCTTGCAATTTTCATAATGTTTATGAATCAATTTATTTGCTGATAAGATGAAAAACGCAAGCGCCTTGGCACGATTAAAGTGTCAATAAACTCACAATAAAAAATAAAATCACTGTATGGTGTAGAATAGTGTTATGAGATCACGCTCGCATCAATCTATCGGTCGATCACATTGTAGTCTCGAGTGCGCGATGAGAGATCCCCATTCTTATCCGTATAAAACGTTCGCGTCCTTGGCACTGAAGCTAGAGAGTGTGTATATGTGTATTTCAGGACGCAAGAGCACCGTAGCACCACCAAGACGTACGACGACCATATGGCCATCACCATATTCGCCGTACTATCAACCGAAACGCACCGAGAGGCCACCGTATCGTGACAACGACTACGACAGACAGGACGTGAAACGAGGAGATAGCCGTGCCAGAAGCACAGGTGAGCTAGCTGAACTTGCCTCCCCACCCCCCTTACCCAAGCCCTTGCAGCGTAGACTGAGACTTACGAGAGAGCACGGCGCAGCTAATAAGAGTGCCGTTTCGTTTTTTTAATCTTTTTCGCGCTCGATCTCAAGGGCTTTTTCAACCACTATTCTGCACCATGCACTGTCGATCTCGGCCTCGTTTACTCTGCGCTTTATGTCTCTCATCTCCTTATTGTGTTGTTTGTCATCTTCCAAATCTCTGTGTTCCAAATATCTTCCAAATTTGTATCATTCTATGCTAGGATTCTATATACAGTTACGTCGTCTTCGGGATAGTGTGACGAAACTCACTGCAAAGACACTTGCTGCGTAACCCCATAGTATAATGCACGCAGTGAGATAGAAAAACACGATTATCAGTGGATTGTACTGAAAAAACATATTTCTTGTGTCGTAGATGTATTTTAGAAATTGAGGCGAGCAATCGATGATAAAGATGAAATATTGAAATTTGTTACGTGTCGTGCAAACGTTGCTAGATACAAAACATCGAAAATTGAATTATAGGAACTTGCCGAGATATCACAGAATATTTAAAAAATATGTACGTTCCACAAAATGCCCACTAGCACGAATTGTATATTCTAGATCTGCCAGTACAACTCAGATTAACGCATACGTCCAAAAGTGAGAAAGTATCTCTAGAGCAGATTACAGCAAGACACAGAGCCTTGCAGTAGGAGATTATCTAATCGAGGCTACTCGCACGTAGGAGGTCGTACCCTGCTAAGATTATCACTAGACTATTTCTACTCCGTAGTTTGTGGCAAATCTAGAAAGGATAGGACGACGATTGCTCTAGCTAGAGAGAAGCCGTGAGGGTAGGTATATCGGAGCTTGACCAGACTGAAATATGTATGGACGTCCCTCGGCGTGTTTAGAGTATACTATTAGGTAGACAACGACACGCGGCGATCTTATAATGCCGTGGTTCTGCTCCGTTAATATTAAATACACGACGTCCAAAACACCGTCAGAGAGCTAGCTTCCAGTCTCTCTATCTCTCTCCTTATAGTATATGTGTATCTTTCGCTTCTTCGCTACTTCGTACTGCTACAACTCCTACCCCCGGTAATGGCTCTCTGCTGCTTTGCATCGGCTCGTAGTGTTTACGTTTTCTACCTGGCTCCGTCTCTATTGTTGTTTCAGTTATTTGGTCAAAAGGCTAGATTCCATCGGAAAAAAGTTACAAGAATAAATACAAGATAAAGCTTGAATATTATTTTGAAGATATGCAGCGTTGAAAATATTTATTACTGGTATTAATTTCTTTTGCGTTCTGTATAATGAAAAGGTGTAACATAAATCTAGGAAAGCTGTATCCGATAGCCTGAAATTTATTATTTTTCAAAATCATACTTAAAGTGTGACTAAAAGTATGAAATTAATAACGAAGCGTTAGGATGATCATACGTTGCAGCCAGACTTTGATCAGACTTCTTTGCCCAGGGCTATATTCCCAGACAGCGTCTTACCGAATAATTTCTTGTAAGCTACACTATGAAACAGATCAATACTGAAGCAAAGACAGGTGCAAATCGTTTGTATATTCAAACGAAGTGAACAAAAACGAATGATATTCGTGGAGAAAATGATTCATGATATGAGAAGGAGAGAGAGAGAGAGAGGGAGCGAGGGAGGTAGGGAGGGAGGGAGAGGACAGCAGCATAGGGCACGTGAGGTGTCGCAGGTGAGTCGTAGAGAGCGACATCACCAGCAATTCAAAGGTACATCATCTGCACACTGCGCCAAGTATTATATAGCTTGAATATTCAGTATGTACGGGTAGGGAGATGATAGATCGTGCGTAATGCTACGCGCACCTAGAAAGCCGGCAAGTGTAGCTATTAATTATTGTGTAGTTTGAATCGATCCAACTGTAAGACAGAACTGCACGTTAGCGCAGCGGCAAGAACAACAAAGTTGGCATAGCAGGCAAGAGCTACTGCAGCGCTAGCTGCCACCTTGTGCGCGCGGAACCCATCAACGCCATTCAAATGCGCCATCGCGTCCAACTGTCTCAACTCTCCCCTTCCGGTGAGAATGAGCATGGATCGCTCGCGAGTGAAAGTTATTGGCTGGATGCCTGCCCGGTCTCTGTACTCCCCGCGTGACGCAGATATGCGCCATGCGCCGCCAAAAGCGATCGATCTCAATGAAGCTCAACCTCACCCCTCTGTGCCGTATATATGTATTTATGCGACAGCTCAGCTTATTGTATTTAGTTTGCGTTATAGACGACACCTACGTTTAGAATCGTCAATGAGCCAAATGAATTTATCATACGCGTTCCTTTGGACGATGAACTCTCCGCACTTTCTACCGGTATAAGTAAAAAAGCATTGACTTTCATTTGTTCTTTTTCTTCTGCCGAATAATAAAGAAATAAGGCACGGCACGGGATTAACTCAGGCAGCATAGAATGTATAAAAGCCTATGAAAAGAGAAACGAGCAAAGAGAAAAGGAGCTGCTTTATTCCGAGCGGGCGGGTAATTCCCGTTCCTCGTCAAGATTTCATGTAACTTTCTTCGCAGCTTCTATATTCAAGGAATACCAAGAACGATAAATTGGGCAGTCAGAGCTTCAAATTTTCGGAGGATATATATTCGAGGCCCGCAGTGTTGTCTCTGCTGTGTTTTCCGACACAACTGCCTCTACGATTTATATTATTTTCAAGAGTTGTACTTTAATTTCATCCCTTATTCGAGGCCTAGGAATTTCTATTCATAAAATTGAACTTTTGATTACGCTCACTTTTATACTCGTGCTTGTTGGATCAGCTCGCTCTAAAAACTAGCTTTGTTCGCTCTTCGTTTTTTCGCTCAGCGGAAATGAGATCTACTATATTATTCTATCACAGTTGCTATGAATATAAAGTCTAAGCAAACATCTTATCACATTTCATTGCTATACTTGGAAATGAGAACGCCAAATTTCTATTACAAAAATTACATAACTCTGCATTTTTTCGCTCTCTAATGTAATGAGACTTGAAGTAACCATTTCATTTTTTCAACTAAATGAAATTCATGCTTAAGACAATTTTACGAGGTGTCTCAATGAGGTTATTTGTATATTCCACAAATATACGATATTGATGAATTTCGGTTGACAGTTGTCTGACGGAATACGATTATATTTCTCTTCTCTAAGACTCATCTTTTCCTTTTGCTCTCTCTCTCTCTCTCTCTCTCTTTCTCCCCCCGCTTTCCCCTCGTTTCTTTTCTCAGCTTTGCGTTATTGTCGCCTCCGTCGTTGTCTTCCTCTTTCCTGCAAGATAAGCCCGCAGGTTAACCAATGTCGCTAGGTCAGGATCAAGCAAATCCCCCGTAGCTTAAGTACAGCCAGACATGCCTCATCCTGCAGAGAGAGAAACAAGTACAGAAGGGGAAAAAGAAAAACGAAAAGTACATACAATGGATGCTTGTCGCTCGTAAGCGTTTCTCATCGATGCACCGAAAAAATCAATACATATAATCGTGCAGGTTTCACTCAGCGTATAATAAAATCTTTTCAACTTTAATACGAATAATTCCTGAAATAAAATTTATCAAAGTCAGTCATATTAACCAAAGATATCGCTAAACCACGATTCTGTCGCGGTACTCGGCTAAGTAAATGATAACGAAAATGCTGAAATCAGGTCGACATTCGTTAAGCGCTAATTCGATCGTTTGGTTGATGCCTGGAAACCTCGGAGGGATCAAAATAGCTCCCAAAGCTTGTACATGAAGCCTTGGCCAATATTATCGAAATACCAAAATACTCGGGATTATCCGTCGGCTACCGCGTCGAAGGCAGAGTAAAGCTCCATTTTCTCTGTTCGGAGATTGACTGAGAGCGACATCGTGTATTCCGATATCTCTTTAATTTTTATAAGTCAAACACTGATTTCTACAAACAAGAGTGAATTCTTCACTTGTCGTTCAATGGATTTGATTTTTGGATGGAAAAATCTTGCGAACTTATTACATTACGCATTCTATATATATACGAATGTATGAGGCAAAAGCTCGCTATATCCGCAAGGATCTGGCATATACTCACGTTACTTCCACTTACTTCTGGGCTGGCAATATGCGCGGAGGTAAGGAGACAGAAGGACAGAGTCTTAAAAGTGCACTTGCCTCAGAAATTCATACCTGCCGAGAGAGAGAGAGAGAGAGAGAGAGAGAGAGAGAGAGAGAGAGAAGAGCTTTATTGCGTCTCGTAAAAAAAGAAAAAAATATATACAGCTGCATACGCTCGTGAGGGCAAGTCAGCGCGAAACAGCTTGAGGTATCGTTGCATTTGCAATAGCTTTAGCTTGCCACATATACATAGAACACGCGGCCATCTACCTATCTTAGTCGCCCACAGACGATGAGATGTCTATGCGCGCACAACCTACCCACCAACGCAGGATATCAAATTTATTCGAGGCGCCGAATTTCCCATGAGTGCATGCTTGCTCGCGTCGTTCGGCTGAATATCTACTTACTATCAGTGAGAGCGCCTTGTGCACTTTGCCGATGAAAGGAGAGAGCAGCTCAACGTTTTGTGCAACAAAGGCTAAAAAACGCGATCGAACCTCACTCGTAATCCTGCTTCCTTTTCTTACCAAACTTGTGTAATCAACGTTTACGCGAATTTGTGAATTCCATAACTTTGGCTAATTGAAAAATTTTTATTCGATCAAGTAACATTACGACCGTTTTTCATAGTACTTCTAGTATTATTTGATGAAATGATACTTTTGCAATCATCTAATTTAAAGGAAAATGAATAATTCGATCATAATATGATTTTTATAAGGGGAATTTAATTTCATATTCAATAATTTTAATCAGATCATTTAATTAATACTCATACTATCACGAGCACATCTATCGGTATTATTTTTCAAATTTCAATGATGAGTAATTAGAATAGAAGCCATTATCATAAAACAATGCTAAAATAAAGATAGCAAGG